TCCTTAGTAGGGAAAAAACGCGAGTTCTGAGTTCCGTTGCTAGTCACCAGCTTTGCTTATAATGCTTGTGACTTAAGACAATGTCGAGGCAATCCGCACACGGTGAACATATGATAATAAGGAACTGATCAAATATATTCACTCGAGGTCTATTGGAAGTAATTTTGACATTTATCTTATGTATAACACTCCGAATTTTAAGAAAAATCGCCTTATTGGTATGACTAATGCGGTTTATAAAATAGAGGAATCGTAGTAAGCGGTGGAATTCAAGATGCGCTTTTTATTGCCGTATAAGACTTGTGAGCTGGTTGCAAGTGGATCATAATATTATTATTTATACCGAGATTCGAATGAAGTACTTTCCTCCCCAAACTACCAAAACTTTATTTACTAAGCTACTGTGTCTAGATAACTATTTACACATTGAGTTTGATGTCATTGTTAGAAAGCGTTTAAATAATCCCACTGTTGGCATTTTCGATTGAACTTGAAGTAGTCTTTATTAGTATATGTTTATTTTTTGTGGATCCCTTTGATGTATTCTTTTTTTCTAAGTCTTTATAGAATAGATGGATTATTAATAGTAGTGGAATCCGTTAAATTAAAGGATAACACACGGAATGTTTTAAATAAAAGTTATTACATTTGAATTCTGGTGTAAACATGAACATTGTGATCGAGACACACCCAGCTAGTGGGACCTACACACGATGGGAATAGGATCCTGTATCCTAAATATAGCCACAGTTCATCTATTTTATAGAAAAGCTCGGAAAAAAACGAGCGTGTACAGTGAGTCAGCATATGATGTACATACCCCAACAAGGACTAATCAAAATTCAATTAAGAATATTAACATAGACATTACTACTGTTATTGCCGTTCTACATCAGATTATAAAAAAATATAATGTAGTCATTTTGTGTCAAGTTCCTACGCAATTTTTCGTTACATGACTTTGGCTACTGAAACATTTAGCACATTAAACTCTTGGTCAACTGTTTCTTTTCAGCTTATAGTTCCAGAGAATCATATATAAGTATATATATATATATATATATATATATATATATATATATATATATATATATATATATATATATATATATATATATATATATGCATGGCCTCATATAAGATATCCAATCCCAGCTAACATTAAAACCCTTTAATGAGTATAATACAGTAGTATGATGCCAGAGATCTATGACCTTAGATTTTAGTCAACTTCTATTTTCTACTTCCCTAAATGATTTCCATGGATATTTTACTTTTATAATATACAACTAATAAATTCCACATGATAAACTCAATAAGTAATGAAAGAGAAAAATTATAAAAAATTATGAATGTTCTATATTGTTTATCTTCATATATATTTTATCATTTGAGTATCTAAGTAAACCATAAACGGTAAATTCAATGACTGAAACATAAAAATACAAAAAAAGTTTTTATAAAAAAAGCGCTCATATTGAATTCATTCAAGTGTATTCACATCATGTTTATGTATAGTTTCCATATGAAATATTAGCCTAATACATATTGAAATTGTTTACATAAAAACTACTCTTAACTATATATATATATTTTAATGTATTTAATTCATATTGTTTAATAATTCATTATAAGCCTATATTTCGTATAGTTGGGAATAGTTGGGGAAAACATTAGAACAAACATAATTGGTTGTTGTTGGTGTTGTTGTTTGTTTGTTTGAATGAAGGAATGAATGCATATGTATAAGTAAAGGTAAATGAATGAATATAAAGGTAAATTTATTCGATTCATCGGAAGTATTAAATAAATTTTTTTTAAATATTGAATAGTTTTCTTCTTTTTCTTTTCCTTTTTTTCTTTATCCTTTTATAAAAAAGCATCACATTGATATCAAATTAGGTGTTTTATGTTGTTTATTGTTTTTCTTTTTAAAAGAAAGAGAAAAAAAGGCGGAAAAGATAATGGTTAATGGATAGGAAGTTTGGAATAAATTTATTTTTTTCATATAATTGAATATTGTCACCGTTGTAAACAATGTAGATTGATTCATTTAAATAGTTTTAGCATTGATTTAAAATTGCGTATCTTATCATTTCTGTTCGTGTTTATGTCACTTTACAATATGATCTCTCTGAGCTGATGAATTGAGCGAACTATGTATTCGATCATCATTATCTCCGGAAGACTTTTGATATTTAGTGATAATGCCATGTTAGTAATGCAGAGATTCAACAGTGTGTGTGTGTTCAGTGACAGTGACGATAATGCGATTGATGTCATCGAGGTTCATGTTAAAGATCTTCATAACACTTTGTAATAACCATAATCAACTGCTTAGTAATAATTAATATGTCCGAAATAAAAATGTTGTCTCCGGTGAAATGAATAATGACCATTGAATATCAACACAGTGATTTTAATGATTAAGCGTTCACAATGAGTTCTGATGATTGTTGGTTCAATCTGTAGTAGGTTAGTGAATTTGTATTGGTATTGGCAGATCACAACAAGAAGATGTGAAGGTGGGGAGATAGAGAATGAGAGTTTTTAAAAAAATACTAGCAGAAGCAGATCAATTAAGAAAGGATCTTTTCAGTTAAACAGGTTCTTCTCATTTATACGAAAAACATAGAAGAAAGTTACAACACGATCTCTACTGGCTTTTTGTCCGAGTCACGTCTTGTAACGTCTCAAGACACTAAGTTGCACTATCTCTAGGATCAAAACCATGGAGTTGTCAAGGATAGATAGACACCAGTGCTGTACACTTTTCCCTTATACCATGACACCATGTCATACACCGACAATCTAATCATTTTTCTAACCAGTCCCAGTGTAGTTAAATAAATTCACTATATTATATTCAGTGAGATGATGTTCGCAACAGTTATCCAAGTCATAGAAGTCGTCGTTTCATGACTTGCACCAACTGCATTATCGTTACTGTCACTGAACACACACACGCTGTCGAATCTCTGCGTTACTGATATGACATTACCACTGAATGTTAACAGTCTTTCGTAGACAATGATGATCGATTACAGAGTTGATTCACATCCTCCGCTCGGCGAGGTCAGATTTCACTAACACGCAACAGAACTGATCTCAGTGATGAACTGTACACCTAACCTCATGCAGACAGATGGACCTCACGAAGGCTAAAAAAACTGGCTCAGGCTTACACAATTCACTGTGTTCCGGATCAATATAAGCTGTTCTAGCTTTCACTAGGCGTAGATTAATCTCATCACACACTCCACCACCATCACTTACAGACCGACCAAAATACACGGACTACTCAACCACTTCTAACCAACAAGGGCGATCTTAGGCACATACCTCTTCCAGTCTTGCTAGCGTACTGTGCTCTGAGAATGTGCAAGCACATGCCACATCCACAGATACTGATGGTCAACTGATTAAGTGCTAATCGCATTGATCGGGAATCATCGCACAATAAGACAACTTCATCCACATACTCAAAATCGAAAAGTCTCCATTTAACAGATGCACACCACCACTTACTACGTCCATCTGAGCTGTTTCCTGAATGTTATCAAATGTATATTTGAAGAGGAACAGAGGGATTGGATAACTCTGTCTAGACCCACTGCTCGAATGGAACAATGAACAGTCGCGCTTGCACATCTTTACTGTGTCTGGAGTGTTTGTTTACAGGGACTTCTAGATTTTAACAAAACGTCCCAGACACACCCTTCTTCTACAGACAATCAAAGAGAACGGTCCTGTTAAACAAATCGAATGCGGTCCTGATATCAAGACACACAACGATTGTTGGCCTGTGAAGCATGACAGGAGTCAATAGTTTGTATGCAACTGCAAGTAAACCTATCCATTCATAGCTGTCAGCCATCATGGAGGCTGTTATTGATTAGTGTTCCATCAGCTTCATAGATTATTTCACTCACACTAGACATCGTGCCGCCATTGCTCCGGATGAGTCGAGAGGTAGTCTACCAGTTATCAGATGCAGATGCAATTTCTAACTCGCTAGCACGCTCTAACCATCAGCGTTCTCGATGCTGATGTTAACTCTGTACAATTTCATTTCGTAAGAATCTACGAATATGATTAAACTCGCGATTGATAAGAGTAGATCGACTTGTTTCAAGAAAATTTAAGGAGAGTGGAGAAATTCAGTGTTTATAGTTGGGACGTTTCACGAAGCCACAGATAACTTCACTCTCCATTTTCACGACATTGTGTAAATGTGGTCAGTTGTCATCTATAATTCTCAGTGGGTTGATATCTAGCGTTGAACATACCTCGGTTTGTTTGCGATGGAATTCTCCGCTATGAAATGATAAAATATCAAATATATATCTAACTGTGAACTAGTTATTTTCATATTTACCTTTGTGACATTCACTCATAGGAATTATCAGATAAATGTAACAGGCTTTTTATAAAGCATTTCTATATTAAGTTCATCAGCTATATATCAATCTCTCATTTATAATTAACTAAACTCTGAATTGAAATTTAGCCATGATTTTTTATTCTATTCAGGTTGTTTTTTAAACTATAGTTTGTGTCATCTTTTTTTAAATGACCTGAAATTCAATTTACTCTAGTAGAATATAAACAATATTATTCTACTAGAGTAAATAACGTTGACCTTTATGATTATTCTTAATTTCTAATGTATCCTGTCCTTAAAAGGGAAACTTAAACTTTTTAGTGACTTTATATTTACAAAAAAAGAATCCAAAATCCAATATCGACGCAATATCCTTTTGATATTTTGATAAGATGAAATATTTCCCTGAACTTACCAAGTTTTCATCAGTATATCTCGCTAATTGTATATGGAATACACGGGTTTTGTTCATAACAAGATGATCGAAAATTTTCGTGTGATTAATTTGCCTACCTTTACAATATATCAGTAGTATATATTTTATGAAATCATAAAAATTGCTATATATTCAGATGCTGTGACCATTGATCAATATGTATACTGCTTTTTTCTTTAGATGGCAAGACCATTACAAGTAAAAACTGCTGATATGGAACGTCGTACAGGTCCGTGGTTTACTCAGCTGTTGTACTTATTCATATACATGTTGTTATTTGATTATAAAAAACTTTTGGTGTACATTGATTGTCTGTTTGTATATATTCTGTAATAATAATTGATATGAATGTTGTTTATTGTCGTAATTTTAATTTACTTTCTATTAAAAACAAACAAACATAATAAACGTTAAATGTTGTATTGTGTCGTATACATCATCGCTATATAAGCTTTAATAAGTGAAAATGTTTATTGTTATAATTTACTGTTAGCCTGAATTTTGTCAGACTTAAACGATGATAATAGTGAGTTATTTTCACAGATTCGGTTAGGTCTATAAAAAATAACTAACTACTTCATGGATACCAGAGCATATAAATAAAGTCATGATAAATATGTCATTGATTCCAAGTGAATTTATTTTCACTACGGACGGATATGTAATTGAGAGTCATTGATAGCCAAGAAGAAGTGAACATAGCTATTTCAAAACTATTTGGGTCTTTTTGGGTCTATTCGGGTATAACAGTATATATGGATAGTGATAGTTGAGTATTAACAAATATAATATTATGAATTCATTTAAAATGAGAACATCAACCATCGGATATTAATGCAAAATTTAGCTCTTTACAAAACTTAACATTTCTTAGTCTGATACAGTATGAATTTATCAATATGAGTTGTTGAAATATCTTTACATTTAGACAAAAAGCTCACCTAGTTGATTGTGATTTTTTTCAAAATGGTTGTACAATTTTTTTCCAGATCTAGGCTAAAAATGGAATTCAAGATTCACACTTCGTTTTTATATGGAACTCGACAACTCTTCATGCCAACTTACTGGTATGATGATCTTACTATAATTTGCGAATAATGCCGATGGTCTTAAAAACCAACATGTTATTCAACAAATTTCTAAGTCTCTAGGTATCCACTAAATCTCTCGGCAGGTATAAACCTGTTACGTTGGATCCTTCGTACGGATTGTGTGGCTTACACCAATTAATTGTTTCATATTAGGACAAAACAACCGTACATTGCTCTTCATCTTATAGATTTGTCTAGCTTTAATCAGTTTATGGTATAAATTACTGTTAATTGTAAATCACTTAACTGCTTCACTTTAAACTATGCATCATATCTGATATTCTGCTTTGTTTTTATAATTTATATGTTTGTGGTAAGAATCTGTAACACTGGAAAAATTATTAAAAGAAATTTCCAAAATCGACAAACCATTATTATTTTAATAGTTGAGATCATGAGCCAATTGAAGCTAGACCACCATGGAAAGCCTAGAAGCACTGGACGGCCGTTTTGTTCTATTGTAGGACTCCACAGCAATGCTCATCTACGATCCCGCCGAGGACCTATCAGTCTCTTGAGCGAACGCTTAACCTCTAGACCACTGAACCATTTACTTATTATTACTTGACTACATCTCTAAAAAATTGCAATTTCTTTCATGATCAGACCACATATAGGTCAGATATATAATTAAAACCTTGCTCTAGTACTGTGCTGTACATATGTAAACTGTAAAAACGTTTCGAGTTTCTAATCATAGATATAGATGAATGGACATATAAAAATATTTTCAAAAATATAGAAGCTACTAGTCAATTTTGTAAGTAACATAATTAGTTTTTCATAAGTTAAGCTTATGATATCACTGATTTCAAAATAGACTGGAGAGAATTGTCTGTAGAACAAAATTGATTACAGGTCAATCTTTCAATAGAATGAAACCTCATAAGAAACGTAATAAGTTTTTAGATCATTTGAATTCGGATCCATCTGTTTATTACAACTAATGCAAATATTTATTTGTCTAGAAGTTGGTTTGAGACAACCAATAGATAACCCAATATAACGTATGTTTGATGTTAAGGCTTATTTAGAATGGTAGAAGGCTCTTTACTCCATAAGAAACTCGAAATGAATTATTTTAGTGATATAATCAGAATCATTTTCATGGGAGCATAATGGGTAACGATTGTCCTGCTGTAAGAAGTGAATGTTTTGAGCTAATCGATAAATTAGCACGAAACCTTCGTCTAGGGTTCGCCATCAACTTCTTGTAGTAGTTTAGCATCAAATAAACGTTCACTGACATTTTGAGTCAGTTAATCAATTGGATAAATTCCAAAACTGATTTTATGAGATTCAGTAAGGAACAAGGATTAGATGATATTACACTGAATACTTTTCATGGATCGAAAAATTCTGACACTCCTTAATATATCTATTCTATACCAAGTTTACAAAGCTTTAAATATGAAGCTGAGTGCTTATGAATATCTGATAAATAATAGTTTTGTGTTTAAATAAATATTCACAACTGATTATATTATTTTATTTGGTCATAAGTTATGCATGAAGTTTCGATTTTACCACTCATAGAATTAGTAGAAAAAGTGTACTTCCACTAAGATATATTTCAGTGACTAGGAGCTTGATATCATGAACAGTTAGCAAGATGAATCTAAAGTATTGAGTTGAAATCGATATCCACGCTGAGGCTCGAACATGAGACACTCGGTTTCAGAATCTGAACTTTTCAAGTCAATGGTTAAGGCGGGTTCGAATCCTTCAGTGATAACGAAATATAATTTCATGTGTTCACATTCGAATTAAGCTCTGTTCAAAAGTTCCTTAATATTGTCCCCACTCTACCAAACTTGAAGTAAATAGATTATTTTTCGATCCCATGATCAAGTCTTTGGAAGGTGTGCTTTTAAGCTCCTAAAAAGAACTGCTCAAGCATATAAAGTCAGGTTACAAAATCTTCTCTTAATCCTATAGCAGTACGCTCAAGATATATCGAATACATATCATTATCTCTCTAACTATTAGGGTTGACTAATCCAGTTAATATCCTTCTTTTAAACATGTGACTTAATTTGGTTTTAATTTTGTTGATTGTTATATTTAATCTAGCCCATTAAAACAAATGATTTATTTACTATTCATGTAAACTGACATAATGAAACGATGGATTGGATCATCTAAATGTCGAGATACATATGATTCCTTTAGTTTCTATAGGGAAATTAAGCTGTTTTATGAAAGAAGTTAGTACACTACATTTACAAGAGTTTGATGATTATCTCATATTAAGAGATAAGTTGTGTTTATGTTTACTTGATAAGGCTTTTTATAACCTATAACAAAATAAATTGCTTAAAATATCCAACAATGAACCCTTACTCAACGATCTAAGTGTTTCATATTTGTTAAGAAATATGATACTCTTCCACTAGATTGGAGATGAACCCTTCTAAGTAGTCTGGAAATCAAACATAATATGTGTTATTGTTATCTTCTAGTTTTTATTAGACCTTTATTTATTTTTATTTAAACACATAAACATTGGTAGAAGAAGGCCACATAAATCATTCGATTTGCGTGAGGGCTAGGATTACTGCCTGGGTGCCCAAACCGAATCAGGTAGTTTTCTAAGGGGGCCATGCCCTGAGCCTTAGACCTAAGTGTCTAATTCACAAAGCAGTGGAGCAACGCCAGTAGATGTAGTCCCATGATAGCCGGTGACCAACAATTGGTTCATGCGCTATTTATTCCTTCAGGATCCTGAAGCCCATTCGCACCATTGGTTTGGAAGCAAGATTTTCCAATTCCTGTAAGTGGATACTCTGTATCCACCATTCCGGTTAAAGCACCGGAAATTCGCTTTTCTTCCTCTCAATTTCGTAAACAACACACTCGCCATGAGAATGCAATGATTGGGACTTCCCTGACAGTGGTTGTATGCCTGTGGCCATATGAGAGCATGTGGAGAGAAAGAGCTGACTCTCCCCACTCTCGGCCATACTAGGGCATTTAGAGGTATTAGGCCTTCTAGTTGATGTTCATTTATAAGTGAACTGAAAGAAAAATACAACATTCATTTTGTATTACATACTAATAACATCATGATTTTATTAGGGTATCAAATTGATTTTTCATCTTAAACGGTATACTTTTCCACTAAACGTTTTTATTTTTACTTTTCTCCATTTAATTCATGACCTTTCAGTTCACTAAATGACAGATAACAATCTGCTAATGATTTGAGTGACAAACCAAACAGTATTCTTAAAATAGTCTACAATAATCAATTGTTGCCTTAATTAAATCAATAACTTAGTATCGCAGATATATATATAATATTGACAAAATGTGGACACAACGTTAACTTCTTAACCCAAGTCAGTTAGTATAGATGCTTATAGGCAGGGTGAAACAGTGAACACATATTCTCCAAACTCTAACTTGATAAAAATTCAATGCTTTACTACTCAGGTTTCATAGACTTACAGACACGTATATGTATCCTGGTGGAGATTTTGTATATTGTAGTCCTAGATATATATATTGATATGCTTATATTAAACTCTATTTGGATTGGTTAAAAAGATTGTCTAAGATGGAAATATTCTCTTCTATCCCCTTTTTCTTTAATCAATGAGTATATAGAAATAGGATTCAAAAAAGGGAATAACTCTTTCTCTTAATTCTCTTCTCAAGCATTTATTGATGAGTCTGTATTAAGCCTAGATCATTCGTCTATTAATCTGTTTAGATGAAATGGGCACAAATAGGAGAATATATATATATATGGGCTGACAGTCTGTTTATCTACATTCATCTCTATTTTAATATCAATAAAATAAGCAATTGGTCTGTTTTGATATATAATAAATATTAATATCCCCACGGGAAGATAAGACTCATTGAGTTAGAAGGCGTGAGAGAAGAAAGAAACAGTAAATCAATAAACAATCCTCCCTCTCATATTAACATGTGTGTTATGTTAATAATAGTAATGATAATATAAGTATTCCATTTTCTATTGTATCAAACTAAATTGATTAGAGTATCTTCATACCCTAATTTGTATATACATATATATATATACATAAATTATTCATATTTGTACAGATGAACTCGATCAAACAAGATTTAACCCAGGATTATAACATATAATGTATTTGTTTATGTTTAT